CAACCATGAGACAGATCCTGCATCGTCTGTGTGTGTGTGTGTGTGTGTGTGTGTGTGTGTGTGTGTGTGTGTGTGTGTGAACTTTATCTATTTTTTTTCTTTGTTTGAAACAGAGTTGCTCTATGTAGTGCAGGCTAGCCGGGAGCTCACAATGTTCTTGCCTCTGCCTCCAAGTACCAGATTATAAGTATGTAACACCACTACCCCTTGCTCTGGTAATGTTACCTTGATTTTCATTCCTCTTACAAGTTAAGGGACAGAAGAAGTAGGTTCTATTCTTCCATGATTAGAAAGAAATAGTAATTATATTTTTCAATCAACTAGAGAGATATTAATGACCTAACTGTATGCCACATGTACAAAATCAGTGCACTCATTTCTTGTTATTTTAATGCTTCTGCATTTTTCTTGTATAATATCCTTCTCTTCTTACATAAATATAAATGTATGTAACTTATGGTGGCTGTGGTTTCACATCCAGCTTCCACAGAATAGCAGACAGTGTAAAGCCAGAAGGGAACACAACAGTCATTCAAAATGGCAGACCGATTTCCTATTAGAAAATTGGGTCCCGTAAGTTAGGTGATGTACCAGAATCCCCAGCTGAGCCAGAATGGAAATTACAGCTCCTGAAGACTCTTGAGGCACACAGGGAAGGAAACTCGAGGCAGGGGATCATGGAAGAGGGCTACTCACTGGCTTGCTCTCTAATGTCTCCTTAGCTAACTTTCTTACAGCCCAGGACCACCTGCCCGGGAATGGTGCCTCTCATAGTGGGTTATGCCCTCCTACATCAAATTAGCAATCAAGAAGATGCCCCACAGACATGCTCACAGGCCAATCTGATGGAGACAATGCCCCAATGGAGACTCCCTTCTCTAACTGTGGTCTGGGACAAGTTGATAGCCAAAGCTAACTGGAAGAGAAATGCAGTGAGAAAATAGGCGGGACGTCCACCTGCTTGAGTCTTGCACGCATCTAGGCCCCCAACCATCTTTGTTACTCAGAAGTTATTTTCCTTTCTCTTCAGTCTAGACAAATGGCTGTTGCCTCTTGTACCACACTCGTAGCTTTTAGATAAAGTCATTATTTTTATTTTAATTGGATAATAGCGATAGCAAGTTCTTGGCCCATACTTGGATAGTACTTAAGATTCACCAGATGTTCCAGCCTCTGAGAAACTAACGATAGATCACTGTGAGAATGTCTGGAGACCGATGCTTTCCCCTTTCTGAAGCATTTGCCTCTCGTAAAGATCTCAGTCACTTAACGGGATTTTGTTTGTTGTGATTTTAGAAATTTTCTGAGCAAAGGAAAAAAAAAAAAACGAGAACAATTTCCTAAGCGGAAATTTTGCAAAAATAAAGCTAGCCCTAAACAGGTGATAAAACAAAACAATATAGCCTTGATTGACACATCATTGGTAGCCATTCCCAATTTCTAACCCTCATGGATGCTCATATTTCCTATCTCTATAGATTTTCTTTCTCTTGACATTTGATACAGACACATAAAATATGCAGTCCTCAACAGCTAGGGAGGCTGCATGGGACCGACCTAGGCCCTCTGCATGGGGGTGACGGTTATGTAGCTTGGTCTGTTTGTAGGGCCCCTAGCAGTAGGACCAGGATCTGTCCATGGTGCATGAGCTGGCTTTTTGGAACCTATTTCCTATGGTGGAATGCCTAGCTCAGCCTTGATGCAGGGTGGAGGAGCTTGGTCCTGCCTCGACCCTTTCTTAGGAGTGTTTGGGGTGGGGGAGAGAACAGGAAGAGAGGAGGGAGGGGAAACTGTGTTTGATATGTTTAAAATAACTTTAAAAATTTAATTAAAAAAATGTGGTCCTTTGTGGTTGTTTTCTACAATTAGCACAATATTTAAGGTTCACATTCGTCACAGCATGCATCAGTTCTTCATTTCTTTTGGATGGGTATACTACTTTTAAAATGCATTCATTGTTACATGGACATTTGGATTTGGATTGTTTCCTTGAGTACTGTGGGTGATTATGTAAGCATTCATGCATTTTTGCACAGACATGTTTTTATTTCTCTTGAGTATTTTGAGTATATACTAAGGACTGATTTGCTGGATTATTGGTAATTCTCTTTTTAGCAATGTGAAAACACAATTAGTTTTCTAAAACAACTACCATTGTACATTCTCACCAGTAATACATAAAAGCTTTCTCCCACGACTTGCTAATAGTTGCTTCTATGATTTTTATCGTCATTTTAGTGGATGTGAAATGATAGCTCATTAAGATTTTGATTTTCATTCTCCTGCTAATAATGATAATGATCATCTTTTCATGGTTATCGGGTATTTATACAGCTGAACAAATGTCTATGCAGAACTTTTGACCACATTTAAATTAGGCTATTTGCATTTTTATTATTAAATTTAAGAAATCTGCAGATAGTTTAGATATTAGTCTGTCATGGTTTGGATCTCAAATGTCCCCTGAAGGCTTAGTTGCCAGTCTGTGGAGGGGTCAACAGTTATTAGAAGGTGGATGTGCAGATGGAGGAAGCAGGGACCATGTCCTTGAGGATACATCTTATTCTGGTCCTTGTCTTCAACTCCCTCTTCCATTTATCATTCTTCATCTTGTTCTTCCCCTTTTCTGTTCACTCCCTCTCATTCTCTTTCTCTGGTTCTCTCTCTCCCCCTCCTTCCTCTCTACCCTCTCTTGACCTCCATAAACTGAGACTTACTCAACCACAATTTCTTTGTCATGTTTTACCTCACCACAGGCCCAGAAACAACAAAGCCAAGTGACCATGGACAGAATCCTCTGAAATCATTCTTCCTTTAATGCTGATTTTCTCATGTATTATTTTCACAACCACAGAATGCTATCACATAGTTCTTTATCATGTATCTCTCTATATTTATAAGATATATAATTAGATAGGTAGATTGTGGTGGTATTGTATCCCCCAAAATATTGTGCACCCTAATAAACTTACCTGGGGTCAGAGACAGAATAGCCACTAGATACAAAGGCTAGAAAATGGTGGCACTCACACCTTTAATCCTAGCATTCCAGAGGCAGAAATCCCTCTGGATCTCTGTGAGTTCAAGGCCACATTGGAAACAGCCAGGCATGGTGACACACGCCTTTAATCCCAAGAAGTGAGTCTTTAATCCCAGGGAGTAATGGCAAAAAACATAAAGATATATAAGACGTGGAGACCAGAAACTAGAAGCATTTTGGCTGGTTAAGCATTTGGCTGAGAGCCATTGGGATGAGGACACAGAAGCCTCCAGTCTGAAGAAACAAGACCAGCTGAGGAACTGGCGAGGTGAGATAGCTGTGGCTTGTTCTGTCTCTCTGACCTACCAGCATTGACCCCAATAACTGGCCTCAGGTTTGATTTTATTAATAAGAACTTTTAAGATTCATGCAACAGGTAGATAGACAGGTAGATAGATAGGTAGATAGATAGATAGATAGATAGATAGATAGATAGATAGATAGATAGATAGATAGACAGATAGATAGCGATAGAGAGATAGATTTGAAAAATGTTTCTCTTTGGTTTGTCTCTTCACCTTTTGTTATAGCTTGGATGTATGTACCCCAGAATTCATGGGTTAGAACCTTAATCCTAAAAGTCATATGTTAATAATTTGGAGTTGGGTCCATAGGGAAGTGACTGGAAGTCTTCATGAATAGGGTAATAATTACCTAGCACCCATAAATGGATCCAATGTGGATGAATAGGTTCTTGAGAGGTTGATTTTATTATGAGTAAGCTCCCATCCTTTCTAGCAAGATTGTGAACCTCTCTACTGTGTTGAGGCATGGTAAGAAGGTCCTTGCCGGATGCAAAGCAGGCAGATGCCAGTCCCATGCTCTTAGTATTGTCTTAGGATCTAGAATTGTGATAAAAAGAAGTATTCTGGTCTTTATACATTACACAACTTGTAATATGCACTTACAGCATCAGAAAACAGACGAAGACACGACACATCTTCTTGGGGGAAAAAAGACTATAACTTAAATAAAATCTATTTGTGTTTTCTTTTATGGTTTGTGCTTTCAACGCCAGCCCTAAAAACCATTGCTGAACCTTCAATAGGGTCTGATGAGTTTTGAAGCACGGGCAGGCCTTGAACTTACGACTCCAGTCTCAGTCTCCTGAGTTGTTGGGATTCTAGGCCTGCACTGTCGTTCCCACATCACTTTCACCAGCTTTTGTCATCACTTTCCCGGGGTGCCAGTGAGGCTAGGTAGGCAAGAAAAAGAAATAGAAGTCATTCACATTGAAGACAAAAGTGAAACTATTTGCAGAGGACAAAATACTTCATGTAGGAAATGCCCAGATCTTCATGAAAGAAATACTGGAATAAATGAATTCAGCCACACTGCAGGACCGGAGAACTACTTCAGTGCATTCTGGTTTGGGTCTATTGTACTTTCATTTTCATTCTTTTGAAAGTACTTTTCAATTTCACTTGTGAATTCTCTTGTGACTCTGTGGTTACTTACAAGTGTGTTTGTTGTTCAATCCCTGTGTGTTTATGAATTTCCCAGGGTTGGCTTACCACGTGGCAGGGGCATCATAAAGGCAGTTCTGTCCTATGGAGAACAGTGCATACTCTGCTGTTCTAGAGTGAGATATACTATAGATTCTTACTCTGTCTGATTTACAGGAGAGGCGAATGAGAGCTAGGCAAAATCAGTGGATTATTTAACACTCAGCTGGCATTCGATTTTCAGTCTTATTTCCTCAAAGGCCTCTGTGTTAAAGGCAGTTCATGCTTTCCTGGAGAAAAGGAAGGGGTCATCGTGATGCAGGTGCTGGTACCTTGCCCTGGCTCTGGTAAGTAACTCCCACCACTGCTGATGTAGGCAACCACAAACTCCCCAGGTGAATTCCCTAGTACCACCCCCAAACCAGGTACCCCCAACTTTAAATTTGCAAACATGTTTAAAGAATCCAGTACAGAGCCGGGCGGTGGTGGCGCACACCTTTAATCCCAACACTCAGGAGGCAGAGCCAGGTAGATCTCCGTGAGTTCGAGGCCAGCCTGGTCCACAGAGCAAGATCCAGGACAGGCACCAAAACTACGCAGAGAAACCTTGTCTCAAAAAAACAAACAAACAAAAAGAATCTAGTACAGACCTTTTTTTTTTTTTCTTTTACAAGTAAGAATTTGAGTTTCTTTCAGAATAGCAGTTCCCAAATATTAAGGTCTAAAGACCCATTTACACTCTTGAAAATGTTCAAGAACACCCCAAAGCTCTTGATCATCTCGGTTAAATCCACATATGCTTAAGAGTACTAGAAGTCAAAGCTGCAAGATTAAAACAGCTATTAACTCACTTAAAAATGAATATCCCCATTATGCCCATTATTACAAATAATTCATTTGAAAGAAAAATAGCTAGATTTTCACTGTTTACAATTTTACAAATCTCTTTAATGGTTAATATTACAAAACAGATGGATTTATATACTTCTTTCTGTGTGTCGTCTGTTACAACATGTTATTTTAGTCCAGGAATATGAAAAAATTCCTTCACATAGACAAGAAGAACAAAAAAGGAAATATGTTGGTATTTCTAGGCAATTTGGGCTACTTTTCCTTCACATTCACACTCAGCAGGTCCAGTTTCTTAGACGTTAGTGCAACACAGAAACCAGATGTTTATCCATGAGTACATCTGTACTCTGTGACATTAAATCATCAGTGCGGGGGTGTTTCCTAACACAACTAATTTTCTGATTCCCGAGACACTGATGGGCATCCTCCAACTCGATGTATCCATGAACTAATGATCTGGGGTGAAGGTTCAACAGCTCAGGTTGACATTTTGGTCTCACAAGACTGCCTTTACTTTTCTGTCAATACCCACTTCCTCCAGCAAGGCCACACCTCCTCCCCAAGTTTCCACTACCTCTCAAAATAGCACCACCAGTTGGGGACCAAAACTGTCGAGAGTATCCTGAGCACTTCCTATTCAAACCATAACACCACAACCCCGTGTTCGAGGACTTGCTAGGGCGTCTCATAGAACTCGGGAAAACGGGTTTACTAACTATACTGGATACATTGTCACTCGGCAGCTGCCAAGTAGAGGTGATGCACGGGGCAAGCTTGGAGGGAAGGACAGCGAGCTTCCCTGCCTTTTCCGGACAGCTCGTTCTCCGACCCTTAGATGTGCTCTGCAGCCTGGAAACTCCGAAGCCAATTGCTTAGAGATTTTCGTGGAGATCCCATAATGGAGGCTCCATCTGTTGTTATTAATGCAATCTTCAGCCCCATTCAGCATCCGAAAAAGATAGAGCTCACAGCCCCTGCCCTCTGCTCAAGGCAATCTTTTCTGGAAACCAACTTCCCTTGAGCCTGCCTGGAGTTGTCGAAGTGGAACAAAAGGCGTTCCTGTTTCCCAGGAGGTCCTAAGGGAGTTAGGATCTCTGGGTCAGAAGGCAGTCAAGGGCCACGCACACGTTTCTCGCATGCCACCATTGTTCTATCATTATATAATATTTCTAAAAAGAATAATAGCTGTAATACCACCAGTCTCATCAGAAAAAAAAATCTTTCAATTTTGGAATGTTGTTAAATTCACAGTGGTGAATGACAGTATTCCAAAAGTTTGAATTTGTACACAAGATACTAAATTTTATCATTGGCAAGAAATATTACCACTCATTTCCTTTGAAGTAACAGGCTCATTTCATTCATTTTGGGAGAAAAAAAAGTGTCAATTGCTCAGATTCAGTAGCTACAGTTTATGAATCATTTGTTCTTTTTGGGTAAAAAAAAAAAGGGGGGGGGGAGGGCATTACATGATGCCCTGGGCTCAAATTCCAGCTCCAAAAGAGTTTTTACATTGCAAAGCATCACTGATATGCATTGCCAACTGACATTGTGGGTATGTCTGTAATGGACTGTCTGGATTGTGTTAATTGAGGGGTGAAGACGCTTTCATTGCAAGCAGTGCTCTTCTCTGGGTTTGAGTCCTGAACGGTATGAACATAAAGAAGACAATGAACACGAGTAAGCATTCATGACTTCATCCTCTCTCTGCTTCTAGACTGCTGATGCTGTATGACCAGCCGGCCTCCTGCTTCTCTCTCCATGAATGTCCCTCCAGAATGTCTCTCCATTCTGTCCCTCCAGAACAGCGAGTCATCATAAAGACTTCTTCCTTGTCTTAGTTGCTTCCCTGTCGCCATGATAAAACACCATGACTAGGCCACTTGCAAAACAAACATTTAATTGGGGACTCCTAGTTCCAGGGGGTTAGAGGTCATGACCATCATGACAGGGAGCATGGCAGCAGTCAGGCTGGCATGGCATTTGAACAGTAGCTGAGAGCTCACATCTGACCCACAAGTATAAGACACAGAGAAAGAGATGATTGAGAATGGTGTGGGCTTTTGAAATCCCAAAGCCCACCCCCCAGTGACACACCTCCTCCAACAAAGCCACACCTCTTAATCCTTTCCAAATAGTTCTACCAACCAGGGACCAATAATTCAAACATTTGAGAGACCATTCTCATCTGAAACACAGATCTCCTCCAAATTGTTGATTTTCTTTTAGTACAAAACAATCAAAGTTTATTTATTTACTATAAATAAATGGTTAAGGGCTCAAATAGACTTAATTTTAAAAAAACCCACACAGTTCAAGATACAGAGTCAGACACACACACACACACACACACACACACACACACACACACATATATATATATATATCAAGGGAAAGAATGACCATCTAAGAAAAAATAAAATGACACAGAAGAGAGGATGGACAGCTTGGGCCAGGGCTCTTTACTGGAGATGTGCTTTGAGTAGATTTCTTGAAGTTACTTCCTATAAGCCACAGGGTTTCCTTAGCAGAACGTATGTTCAAGGGGCTATCAATGGCAGGTTCTCTTAGTATGCTCTGGACAGAGAACAAGATGGTCCTGACATCATACAGATCAGACCACTTATCTCTGAGGATGACGGGCAGGTGTTACCCTGAGTTTCCAAAGGGGAGTTGTTGCAGGTGTGAGGAACTTGACTGTGGATACATGGTAAGGGGTGCCACGGGGGGACTCTAGGGAGAGTTTATTCCTCAGATCTTCATTCATTATGTCAGCGTCTTCACAGATGGTCCCTATTCATTTGGAAAGATTATCTGATTGGTTCCTGCTGTAGCCTGTAGTCCGGAGGGATTGGGAAGTGCTCCAAAGTGCTCCAGCTGGGCTGGGCTCCTCCGCAGATGTGGCAGCAGCTGGGTCACCATTTGGGAAGTCCATCTCCTGGTGCTAGTAGGAGGCTCCCTTAAATTGCTTTTTATTAGGATATTTCTGCCACAGGGAAAAAAAAAAAGACACAACAGCACCACAGATCACAAGAGATATTTCTGCCTCCTAAAGGACAATCTCACATTGGTTTTTACTGCAAGAATGTGGTGTGGTGGGTGAACTTTCTACTGACCCCCCACACACACTGCTAGGATACAGGCTATGTTATCAATTTTATCCCCCATCACTCTTCTGCCGCCAGATTGATTGATTGATGGTGAACATGACAAATACTCCTCTTATGCTTATGCTTTACAAAAAAAAAAATCATTTTGTCATTATAGATCCTGTGAGAACACTTTAGAGATGAACTTGGGAAGGAATGTATTGGGGAAGGGGAGAAACAAATGGTTTGGCCAGCCTCTGGCCTGGGAAGTGGGTTCAAAGGCTTTAAAGAGCCCGTTTCTGTGTTCTCCTGGCTGGCCCGCTCTTGTCGTTAGAGGGGCCTGTAACTGAACCGTGGGCACTACTCACTCACAGCAGCACTGTGTGGAAATGCAGCTGCACTGGTAACTAACTGTATGGCTGAGTGGAGGGATCGTGGAGCTGAGCCCATCATGACACTCCAGATCGCCACCAAGAGTGTCAGAGACTGTCCCTGAGAATATCCTGAGTCAAACATGAGCACAGGTCTCACTGGGGTCTTTGAGACAGAGCTGACTTCTTGGTTCAGGCAGTCTTCACTCAAAGAATTAAGGTCCCAGAAACTCAACAGCCACTCCTGTCACTCTGAGCCAGTGGATTGTGTCACTCTGAGCCAGTGGATCGTGTCACTCTGAGCCAGTGGATCCTGTCACTCTGAGCCAGTGGATCCTGTCACTCTGAGCCAGTGGATCCTGTCACTCTGAGCCAGTGGATCATGTCACTCTGAGCCAGTGGATCGTGTCACTCTGAGCCAGTGGATCCCAGATTCCCTGCAAAGAATGACAAGCAAGGAGAGTAGATGAAAAGCTGGCAAGTCTTTATTGAAGTAGAGGAGCGGCTTCTTACAAGGGAGAGAACTCAAAGGTGATTTGTCAATTTGGCCTTGGCTGGACCCCCTTTTAGACCCAGCGATCAAGCCTGATTGGGTCGGCCTGAGAGGCTTCTGTCTATCTGAAGAGAATGGATGTGGGGGAGTCTGGTTGGGGGATATGGTAGAAGAGAGAGAGAGCAGGCTGTGGAAAAGTCTGCCCGTGGGAGGCCGGCTGGAGGGAGAAGTTTCAAGGGGAGGTGTGGGGGAACAGGGGTGGGGGTGGCGAGATGAGGGAGGGAGTTAGGGAGGAGGCAAGTGGCATAAGAACCAGAACATGAGGAAGGCAAGGGCTGGTGGGCAGACATTGTCAGAACAAACGCCGTCAGTGGTCAGTCACAATCTTAATAAATTGGGCCTTTTAAACTCGCAGCTTCCGAGTTAAAGCTACAGAGAATGAACTTTTTTTTTTTTTTTGTCTCACAGAAGCTCAGTCCAGTACTCAGAGCCCAGTTCAGCACTTATAGGAAGGAGAACAGCCTCTGAGCCACCCTCTACTGCTCTTGAGCTAATTTCACAGATTATGTGTGTGTGTGTGTGGGGGGGGGGGTGTCCAGTTTCTGTATTCACTGTCTGTATTGAGTTCATGGGGAACTGCTAGTCTGCAGACGACTCCTTCTGAGATAAGTTCACCAGCCCTGCCCACTTTGTAAAGGATTTTCTGCAGAAGCTTCTTAACCTTATATAGCTGGGGGATGGGGGTGGAGGAAGAAAAAGAAAAAGAAAGAAAAGTAACTATCCTACCCTTCTCTCCATCACAAAGGCAAGTGGGACTACCTAACTGCCAAACCAGTAAAGGTTAATTCAAAACAGCTGGCTCTGCGTAAAATGCTAACCCCAGAAACCTGAGGTCACCACTGACATCAGTTCTGTACCAACCACAACCCTTCTTCCTTTTTTTTTTTTTTGGACAGGGTTTCTCTGCATAGCCCTGGCTGTCCTGAAACTTGTTCTATAGACCAGGCTGGCTTCGAACTCAAGGATTTGCCTGCCTGCCTGCCTGTCTCCCTAGTGCTGGGATTCAAGGTGTGTGCCACCGTGCCCAGCTAGCTAGCCCTGCTTCTTAATCAGGCTTAATAAGACCTAACAAAATTCCCATCAGGCTAGTTAAGAAACTATGGATGGGGCTGGAGAGGTGGTACAGTGCTTAAGAGCTGGTCCCACCTTTGCAGAGGACCTGAGTTCAGTTCCTAGCACCCACATTGGCTAACTCACAATGCCCTCCTAATTCTAGCTGGAAGGGATCCCGCACTCTTCTGGACTCAGTAGGCCCCGGTATTCAAGTACATGTACACACACACAGACACACACACACACACACACACAACACATATTCACAAAATTAAAAATAATAATAAATAATTAAAAAGAAATTATGGGTGGAGGAAGGTATGGTGCCCAGTGCTTATCCTGCCCTAATTTGAGGCAGGGACAGGAGGATTGCCTCATGCTGGAGGCCCACCTGAGCTTCATAGTAATTTCTAGGTCAGTCTGTGCCACAGTGTGAGGTACAGTCTTTAAAAAAAAAAAAAAATAAAAGGCAGAATAAAAACTATGTAAGGAAGAATACAGATTTGTGCTGTACCAAAGCTCATATGATCTGACGTTTCCCAAGTTTAAAAAAATTAAAGAATGATTATTGATCTATTTATATGGTTTTTTGTTTGTTTGTTTGTTTGTTTGTTTGCATTGCCTTTTTTTTTAGTTGTGGATTTTGTTTGCTTTCTCAGAGGTGTTTTCCGGCGCCTTGCTGTTGGTGCATCTGTCTAATTTCTCCTCGGGAGGGTAGGTGGGGGCCAATGGGGACCAGGGGGCCTGAGATGATGGCTGTGCTCTGCCTCCTCCAAGCTTCCTGCGACGCGGACGCGCGCGCAAGCACGGCG